CCAAGCAGCCTCCATGTCTCCAGTGTCTTCTTCCCCACTTGGAGCCAAACCCAGAAGGACATTTCTTTCATCACATGGTTAACAAAGACAACTGATAAGTCTTGTATAAAAATACTTATAGATTATACTTAGGTGGCTGACAAGGGCCATTGCATAGCAGTATATGAAGAATGGATGCTGAGAACAAAAAGGGAAGGTTGATGAGAATCTTAAAGAGGGGAAGATAAATTTAAAGAACAAAAGAAAAATATATGAAATGCCATATGAATGTGATGGGACCAAGGACAGGAATAAATAGTATTGGTATAAAAACTTTTAGCTGTGTTTCCCTTTCATATTTGTTTACAATTTCTTGGTCCTTTTCTGTGCAAACCACATGGAGTTCTAGCACAAAGCCAGCTGGTTAACTTCTGCCCACTCATCCCCTAGGAAGGAGGTGATGGCAAACCACTTCTAAAAAAAATTCCCAAGAAAACTATAGGGACTTGTCCAGGCAGGCTGTGAAAACTGGACACAATTGGATGGAATAAAAATATGTCAAGTAGTTAGAACGTAATGTTTCAAAAACAGTAATTTTCAAGACAAACAATCAGAAACGAAGTAAACATTATTTACAGAAATAAAGCCATTTATTTTTATAACTTTTTTATCTTTCAGATGAATACAGTACTTATAGGTGTCATATTTTGAGAGCAGAACTGGCACTATATTGCTGAGAATTGCACATAAGGTCAGAAAAGTTAACACCTTTATAAATTTTGGACAGATAAAATTCAGTAATATTTTTCACACTAAAATATGGAAGCTATATTCAACATGTGCCATCTCTTTTAAGACATGTTCAAAATCTGTAAAAAATTATTTTCTATAAATTTTGGTCAACATGCTTCATTAAAACCTTTTCCAAGTTTTACAACAATGTGCAGATAATTATGCTCAACTGTCAAGCAGATGTAATACATCAACAGCAGCAAAAGCAAGCTAACACTGCACAATCATGAGTGGGACTGATTTTTAAAATACATTTTTTTCCACAAATATCACACAAAACCCTGTTCTTCATGTCTCTCCGAAGTCCCTCCCCCCCCTTTTAAGGCTATATGAGAAGACATGTCATAACATGATTTCATGATTAAAACTATTTCTAAATTTCATCTTTGTTAGTACACACAGGGCACCATGCCACCAAGTCAAAAAGAGTGCAAAGAAGCAGAGTTGACTTTGCTTTCACAGACATCCAATCCCGATTCTACAAAATCTTGGAACAGCACCAGGACAGGAAGTACGTTTGCAAGTGCCATACTGATTTTGGTTTCAGCCTAGGACTTAAACTGGAGAAAAAAAGTCCTAAATGGTTGATCATTAAAAGCAGTCACTCCAATTTCATTCTGCTTGAAAAGCACAAACATAATAAAGGCAGGCTGCTTGAAAATGATCCATTCCAGCCCATGTAAAACCGTAATGCTGTTATCCAGAGCCTATAATAATCTTTTATGTCCATATCAGTGTCTGCTTCAGGTAGTTTGGTCAAGGAATTCCTCCAGAGTTCTTTTTATGTGTAGGGGCTGAGATGCAGCATGGATCAACAGATTCTGACCCATTTGTGCAAAAAGTGCTTTTGACAGTTTAGCAGTGGCTGCCCGAATATTTCCACCAGCTCCAGGTAAGGAACCGCTGTTTGTCATGTTGCCCAACAAATGCCATAAAACCATCAAGACTTTCTGCTCCACTGCATGAGGCTTCCGGGGATACAACTCAACAACAAGTTCTGAATGCAGGAAAAGAACCAAGAGTTATTTTTTATACAAAGATATGGTAAAATAATCCCAGATTATTTCCTAAAACTGAAGAGAAATTCTATCTCGATATAGTTTTTTTAAGGAGGCTATTGTGCAAATTTAGAAGCAACTGTTGTGAACTGAGCATATGTACTGCATACAAAAAAGTCAAAGGATCTTTTAGAAACATGGTAAATGTTAGAAGAACAAATACATTTCTACCAAACAAATTTGTACCAATAGAAAACAAATCTCTATTCTGATTTCAAACACTTCATTGGAATAGAATATTAACAGGCCATATTACATTTGCTTTTCAGTTTCCTGTATTGGCCATGAGCTTCAGACTAAAACTCCTATCTACAGGTGCAAGAAAAAGTATGTGAATCCTTTGGGATTACGTGGAGTTTTGCATGAATTGGTCATAAAATGTGCTCTGAACTTCATCTA